GCGGCCACAGACATTCAATGAGGTTCTGTTGTGAATCTATTCACACCAAGAAATAACTAGAACAGTCATTAAAGGTCAGCAACACACGGAATTTAGAGAAAAACCTTAATTATCCAGATGCACTTCGTCGCACCATTACCAAACCATCAAGAAGCTAAATATAACGGCCTTCTCCACCTAAAAAATGAACAAAAGAAGCAATTTTTCATCGAAAATCATCTAAACTCACCCGTTTTCTTCACATTCAACCACATCAAAACTAATGAGCACCCTTTCGCATGTAAAACATAATTCAACCAAAATAGTTAATGAACGAATTTCATAGCTCATCAAACATTACCCTACGACAATCATCTAAAACTGAAAAGAAAATTATATTTTAATTTACTAAATTGATTCAAACTCACCCGACCTATTGCGAGAAAACAATTCTAAGGATGAAAATAAAATTTCATTTTCGTACAATAATTTGAACAAACTTTCCATATATACTAATATATAAAACGAATCTACAAATAAAAATGAAACTGTTTTTTAATTTAAAGAATTTTTGTCCAACTCACCAGATCTATGAATATAAAACGAATCTAAAAATGAAAATAGAATTGTATTTTTATTTAATGCATTGATTCAGACTCACCGGATATATCGATATCACACGAGTCTAAAAATACAAATGAAACTTTAATTTAGAAAACTGATTCAAACTTACCAAATCGGTCGATATTAAATGAATCTAAAAATAAAAATAAAATTTCATGTTCATTTAGTAATTGGAGTAAACTCACCAGATATATTGAGATATAAAACGAATCTAAACGTAAAAGCGAAACTTCATTTTCATTTAGTAATTGAAATAAACTTACATGATGTATTGAAATATAAAACGAAGATAAAAATAAAATAAAATATTATTTTAATTTAATAAATTGATTGAAACTTACTGGATCCACCAATATCGCATGAATCCAAAAACTGAAAATAAAATTGTATTTTTATTTTATTCATCGATTCAAACTCCCTGAATCTATTGCCAGACCGCGAATCTAAAAGTAAAAATGAACTTTCATTCTTATTTAGTAATTCCAATGAACTCACCCGACATATTGAGTTATAAAACGAATCTAAAAATAAAAACAAAATTTCATTTTAATTTGTTAAATTGATTCAAACTCACTAGATCTATCGATATCCCACGAATCTAAAAATAAAAATAGAATTTCATTTTCATTTAGTAATTGGAATAAACTCACCGGATATATTGATAAATTCGGTTCGAATCTCCAAACATAAGTTAAAGATTGTATTTTTATTTAATAAATTGAATTAACTCACGCTTTTTTTTCGATTTTCGAAACAAATTGATGAAATAAAATGAAATTGTATTTTAATTTAATATTTGGAATAAACTTACGGGATATATGGCTATCTAAAACGAGTCTAAAAAGTAGAAGTGAAAATATGTTTTAATTTAATTAGTTGATTAGAACTCACCGAATTCCAGAGCCATGTTATGATAGAAAAAGAAAAATTAGGAAAGTGTTGTATTCATGAAATTAAATAAACACTCTGAATAGATAAAGAAAATGTAGTATTGAAAAGTATAAATGATAAGTTAGAAATATTTTATGAAATCATTTAAAATAACTCATCTACCTGTTGAGATGATTAGATATGTAAGAAAAAAAAACATTTCATGTAACATCGAATGAATTATAGAATTCATCGAGATGAATTTACGACCGAAATCATAAGAATAGTAAGCTTTCGAACGAGGTATGAAATGAAGGTACGACATTTCCTAAAGTGAAGCAGATTTTCGAGTTGATCATTAATATGATCTTAGATTATTGAAATCGAAGAGAATGGGACGGCTACTCAGATAGAGTTGATTGATAAAGCGGAGGAATTAATGTTGAAGCTTTTGATCAATATAATATATTTCATCAGGATTTTGCTCAAGTGAAAATGATTCTATATAAGAAAATCTTTGCTTTTGAGCGTGCTTGTAGGGAAGTATCGTTAGTGAAGCGTTTTCTACTCGTTATAGAGACGTTATTCGATAGATATGCAATCAGAAATAAAAGAATCAGCTTGCATAGCTATTCTGATGTTTTGTTCGATAGTTGAGGACCCTGATATCATTCAAATCGAAAAGGCTTAGAAAATAAGCAACCATTTGTGAATATGTAGTGTGAAATATGCTCATTGGATTCCATGTGAGTAGACTACTAAAATTAATCTCTAAAAAAGTATTCTAACTATTCTTTCTTCTAGTATTAAGGCATCTTTATATTCATATATAATAACAGCATCAAATTCGGTAATAAAATAGACGTCCCAAGGCCTTTTGTTAAATAAAATTTAGAACAAATATAAAAAGCACGCTTAAATGGTCAACCTGTAGCTAAATTTCTCTTATACTGACAGTAAAAATAAAATTTGTTCTTGAGCTAAGTCTTCAATGAATGCAATGTAAATATAAGCAATTTCATCTCCCTTCCAAAACGTAATATTTTAGTAAAACTTCTAATAAACTATTCTCTAACGGAGAAATTATAAACAAGATTGTAACATGATTAACGATCTTCTCTACATTTAGAAATTAGTGTTTTTTCAATATAATATTTTATTAATATTAGAAAATATGAAATAACCATTGTTTTCCTTATTTTACTTCGTCTGTCAGTTGCCCTCGACCAATCTCAAAATTAGTACGACACAAACTAATGAAGTTAAAGCGAATCATAATTAAACATAAGAGAAATTGCATTGATTTGTACTTTACACATTGAATCCTTCTTTTTATTCGATTATAGAACAAAGCTAGAAAGTGACTGAAGACAAGACAAAAGTATCAGATCCATGATTTATGTTCTTGTGAAAGTTATATGAAAACATATTGTTCATATGTCTTATAAATGACATTAATTTGTTAACATGTGGACTTAAGTTGCAGTTTTCTGTTTGTTTTAAAAGCCTATAATCTTTAGAAATAAACCAACTGTAATTCTCACTTAAGAATAGAAATTTCTGCAATTCATTCCTCCTGTAATTTTTGACATCCACGATAGCTACAATATAATTCTTACTTTAGCGAAACTCAACCAAAAAAGGAAGAAAAAAGACATATGGTAATTGTCTAATTTATTTATTTTGTTCCCGATTTGTTAATATTGTATTCTCTTTTATATTCCGAAGAATAAGATCAACAGTAAAACGCACAAATAACATTCCATTATTTATGAAGCATGATCTGGCTTCACATTTTATGGAACTGTTTACACAGGAACAATTTTGAATAATTCAATACGCAATTATTAATTAGATCGGTGTTTTGCTGTTTCATAAAAATGTTCAAAGCTGAGCATGAGAAAGAATATGAAAAAAATAAGGTTGAAATCCACATCTATCCTTTTGCGAAGTTTTTGAGATGTCAATCAGAAAATTGATGAAGGTATCAGAAAAGTTGAAAACCTTAGGAACTCTTTTAAGGGTTAACACAAAATTCGCAAACCTATTTTGATTTCCAATGATTCTATTTTTAAATTGGGTATTTTCGCAAACCCAACTCGGTATTCTATGATACCCTTTTTCAGATTGGGTATTTTTGCAAACCCATCTCGGTACCCTATGATACCATTTTTCACATTGGGTATTTTCGGAAACCATTTAGGAAATGAAAAGGTATTTTCGCATACCCTTTCGGGTATCGATCCAGCTTTACCACTAATATGGGTTTTCGACAATACCTTTCCGATTTTCGAGAAACCTATTGGGTTTCCGAAAGCAAGAAAAAGGTATTCTAGAATACTTTTAGAGTGTTCAGTTGAGTATTGGCGGAAACCCTTGAGTTTCTGAACGTTCGGAAACCCAAAGGGTATTTTCAGAAACGCTTCCAAACTTCGGAAACCCACTCGGAAACGGAAAAGGGTTTCCGAGTAGGTTTCCGAACCCCTTTGAGTTTCCTAGGATACGAAAATTTTTTAGAGTGTAGAAAGATAACTGAGCGGAAAAAAAAACACATTTTCATTAGAAATTTTGAGTAGCCGGATGTTCGCCAATAGGACTTTCGTAAATTGGACTTTCGCCAATGGCGAACATCCACTGATCTTTCGCCAAAATACCTCCTGTACTTTCGCCAATTGGCGAACTTCCACTAATCTTTCGCCAATACATCCCTGTACTTTCGCCAATTGGAGAAAATTTTATTGTCTGTAAATCTAGTATCGAGTAAAAATTTATCATGTATTACACTCTACTGCACATATGTAAGTGCGTTTTAATAATCTCACTTGACTTTTGCCAATATTGGCGAAATTTCACAGGATTCTCATCAATTTATTTCTGGACATTCGCCAATTGGCCAAAGTTTAGTGGAATTTCGCCAATATACCCATTTGACTTTCGCCAATAATTGCCGAAAGTCTTATTGGCGAAGATCCGATATCCCGAAATTTTGTCCCAGCTAGGCTTCGGGGAAAGTATACTCCTCTGTTAGTATGCATAAAAATCATGCATTACTTGAGTTTTGTTGAACATTACGGATTTCATCAATTCGGTTTGTCCGTGTGGGTGTGTCTGTAAAGTCAAAATAAACATCTACCGAAGCTCGAACCCACGCGTGTGGGGTGTGGGTGTGGGTGTGATGGTCTGGGGTGTGAGTGTGGGGTGTGGGTGTAGATGTGGGTGTGGGTGTGCGGGTGTGGGGTGTGGGTGGGTGCGGGTGTGGGTGTGACTGAGTATGAAGAAAAGGCTCACCCACACCAGCCACACCTACACCCATACCCACACCCACACCCACACCACTCACACCCATACCCACACCCACACTCACACCCACACCCAAAAACAATAAAAGTTACATTTTCTTTTCCACATCTTCAATAATTCCTTATAGCAGGGAAATATATGGATGTGTTAGAGGCAGTGAATTTTTCCAGATTTCATGCGTTTTGTCGTAGTATGAAAGAGTGAAAAAACCTGATCATTTGAAACACATGCTTAAACCAATGGAATATGCTGCTATTCAGTAACAATATAGCAACTCCTCACGAGGTGTGGATGTGATTGTAGGATTTTCTTCAATCACGCTAGTACACCCAGGCTCACAGCGATATCCAGCTACACCCCGACCAGTGACTTGAGAGAAAAGTTCGAAGTGTTGTAGTGAATTCAATTTTATAGAAGGAAACTTCAAGTGAACGAGATTGAAAGAGATGATTGTGGTTTATAATACGTAAAGAGTCATCCAGCAAAAGCGAGAAAAAAATTTTGATTAGTGGTTCTCAATTTATTCTGGAAGTCCAACATACAACAGAACATTAAAATCGATGTGTGATGCTGTGATCGATGAGACGTTTTCTCACTGTGAGCATTGTCGTTTATATACATTTAGCTAGTCATGTCTGCTACGAAATGTATACAACAAACAGATCTGACATGATCATAGCGTCGTTATTATTCTTGAATACAGGACATGTCAATGCCTCGAGGAGTTCTCTTTCCCTAATGGAAAAAAGTCCTTTCTTTACTTCGATTTTACATAAACACATTCAATATGCTCTATTATAAGATCAATATTCCCCGTCACTCGTTTTCCTAGCAGAGAAAAAAACCACACCAGTTCTATACATACACGCAGAGGTGCAGAATCTACCCGTGTGCGCGTACGGCCGTACGGGGAAATTTTTGAAAATTTATTAGCATCTGGGGAAATTTTTTGGAAAATATTTTTCCCTCGTAAGAAAAATCTTACAGTTTTCCAAACAAATCTTAGTTTATTTATGTCTGCATCAATAAGATCTTGCATCTTTTTTCTTTCTTTTATTTTTGTTAAACTTTTAAAAAGAATCATCCGTGTCTTTCTCGTAGTGCCAATATCGTCTATTTTTTGTTTACAGTGATCCTGCATCTTACTACTTTTCCTTCGCTCTTTCTCTTTGTGCGAATTTATGACACAAAACACACCATTTGTTTTCTCCTCTTTTCATTTTGTTCTTTTCCCTAATGCGATGTCACTACTTGCCGTCTTTTCTCTGTTGGTACATATTATTTGTTATTGTGTGCACGTATGCGTACACGACTGCTCGAATGACTAATATTTATTCACACAGTAGATGATGAACAAGATGATCCTTATTCACTGGCAAATCCTTTCTCGACTCTCATTTTTGTTTTATCTACTTTTTTTTAGACCTTTAACATATCTGAATAATAAAAATGTACCCAAGTAAACAGCAGCTGTCATGTTTTTATTGTGAATGGGTCTGACGAAAAGATAAAGCAAAAGAACATTGGAAAAAAGACATCTTGAAGAAACATTTAAATTAAAGATTTCAGAAAACAGCTTGACAAAATATCATTTTCGAAAAGAAACAACTGAAAAAAACAAGAACAATTACCAGTGATCATGATGGCTCTGATAAAAATGAAGAACAAGAAGAACCAAATGTCATTCATTTGTCTCCATGCATACTAGTCTCAACAGCAACAACAATAACTAATGCTGTCATTTCACCTTCAATATCTATTTTAGGTACACCATCGATTCCTAGTACACCAGCAAATCTAAGTACATTATCAAGTCCAACAAAAAATTTTAAATCATCGAATTCTATACAAGATCAATTAGCATCGATGGTAAAACAACTTTCAAAAATAACTAATGCTATTGAAAATTTTCATTTAGAAAAATCTAGTAAAGAATCATCATCATCTACACAAGCTAATGATATTGAACAATTATTTGAGAGTATCAAATGTTCAGATGATTTATTTATGTTGGACAGTTTAGAGATAAATAGTCACTTAGATACGATCACATGTGTTCCTTGTTCTACGTAGAAAAAACAAGCACCAAAACATCTATTAACTTCCATTAAATCTTCATTTGGTATATTTCAACATATTGAACAAAAAGTGGGTGAACCTCTCTCACAACGATTTCGAAGTTTAAAATCACACTTTTTAAACAAATTACACATATGGTGTGTTCGAGAACAAGAAGAAAGAAAACAAGCGTTTGTAGATTTTGTAAAGAAAAATGAGAAAGCAGGAATGAATATTGGTAGAGCTGCTCTGTTTTCTATTCGGAGTGGTTTAGGTGGTCTTAAATTTGTTGAAACACTAAATCTACTAGATTTATCTGGAGCAGCTGTTGGTACATTTAGGTAAATACAAAATTTTTCTGTAGTCTTTACATGCACCATACGAGCTGTTTCTGTTATATTTAGGCATAGTCGGTGGTTTTTTGAGAAACTTCGAGCATCAATGGCAAGAACTATGAAAGAACGAGTTATAAAATATTTACAAACAACTGACCCTATCACACAACGTCGTCGAGCTTTTGGAATAACATTTGATAAAGTAACGATATTAAGAAGATCAATGCAAGTAACAATGATGATAGTAATGGTAGATGGTCAATTGACACCTATCTATCTTCAATCACCATTATGTAAAACAGAACTGTCTGGTGAAGAATTATATGATAACTGTGTTCGTGTAATGGAATCATTCAGCTTGTCACAATCAATATTAAAACAACAATTAGTTGGTTGTGCTGTTGATGGTGCAGATATTCATTTGAGTATTGGTAAACATTTATGTCAAAAGATTGGTATAAGAGAAGAATGGTTATCAATATCATGGGATTGTGCTCATTTACTTGAGCTAGCTATTCATTATGTTAAAAAACGAAAAAAATTTTTATGGTTAACCAGATTTATAAAAACATGTGCTATGATTATGAGAAAATATTCATATGGAAAAACAATATGAACAACTATTAGAAACAGCTGAACTAATAGAAGAAGATATTTTACAACCGAAACAATTCCATATTACTCGTTTTGTTAGTTCAGAATGTCGTGTTTATGAAACTATGATGAGAGACTGGTCAACATTGTATGAATTACATCAACAAGATAGTATTGTTAATGCGCTAACTGTTGGTGATTTAAGTGCACGAACTCGACACAATATTAATTCACAACAAGAAACTGGTGCTGATGATAATGGTACTTTACAGGTGAGTTACAATCTAATTTTTGCAATCAATATAATTATTTCTTTCTTCCTTTGTTTTTTTGTAGATTGAAGAAATTAAATCCGTCGATTTTGTTTGTAAACTTGTAGGATTAATTGATATATACAATATCATTGTGAAAGCATCGGTATTTGTACAAAACGTTGATAAATATCCATGGAAGTATGATGATGCAATACGACGTTTACAAGAATGTTTAAATAATTATGCCAGGCTACTTGAACAACTTCTTGATCTAAATACAATACAAGAAATGGATAGCATTGAAGATAAAACTCTATTTTATACTGTAGAATGTATTCTCGCGTTCTATCAATATTATTTCTACCATAGAATATCAACAAGATTCACCAGTTACTTCGCACATCACAACAACAACCATTGATGATGATGTTTATGATAACATTGATATTGAGAGAGACAAGGAAGAACTGATTTCAGCAATACCATCAACAACGTATATGGAACAACATTATCAGAGTCTCTTTAATTGTATATTTCGAGAACGTCCCATCACTAGACGTCAAGGTGATTATGATATAGAAGATCCAACTTCACGTGTTCGAGAAAAATTAATTGTATTATGTAAAGAACTAATTGAAGCAATTGAAACCCGTTTTAACGATACACCATCAATTTTTCTGTTGATGACAAACTGTTTAGATGTATCGTCATTATACAACCAGGTGGTATTAACTGGCCAACAGAAATTAGCAGATTATGGTCGGTCGGCTTTACAAGAATTAATTGATTTTACAACACTGAACTCGAAATATGTAAAGATAGATGCAACTGATATACAACAACAATATGCGGAATGGAAACAAATATGTTTACTTGAAATTGAAGATAAAGATACATTTGATATATGGACAACAAATGGGAAAATAATTACACCGAAAGTAATGAAAACATTTTATTCAAATAAAAAACTAGCACATGGTATTCATGATTTTTTATACTTCTATTCTTTGATGATATTGAAAATTAGAAGTGAAGCGGTCGGTGAATCAGTGTCATCAATTTTAAAAGGACACATTCACAATAATCGTTCATTACAACACACTTCGTTAGATGAAGAAGTAATGTTACACTGGAATACACCACCATTACATTCAGCTGATTTATTCATTACAAGTTCACTCAATGAATACTTTAGTCATACGAAGGATAGACAATGGCTATTTTATAAAAAAAAGTGAACAATATCAAGTTTGGAAACTTGTTTATCCTGGCTCAGTTGTTTTAAATCGTTTACATAAAGTACAAGTTGGAAGATTACCTGAACCAGACGATGTTGAATAATAAGATTCTTTTTTTCTAAAGTGTATTTGCAACTTGTTGTGTAGTCGTAGTTATTCTTTTGTGAATAAACATCATCTTTAACGGGGATGACTCGTTTTTTCATTGAATTCTATAGTGGGGGAAATTTTTTATTTTAGCGGCAGATTCTGCACCTCTGAATAATATACATGCCTTTTCTTTCCCTTCTTCTTCCTTGTGTCTTGTCAATGCACTACCAAAACTACTTTAATTAAGGATGATACATTTAAGTAAAGTTAAATTCAACTCAAAGTTAACTTTAAATTTCTTGAAAGTAAAAGACTTAAAATGAATAGACATTGCTTTAAGAAAGTACGTCTTTTGTACTTGACTGATAATCTCTTCAATATAGAGGTGATAATTATCCTTAAATTATATTATTTGTCACAAGAACACTAACAAAAAGTCATTATGTTTATGTATGAAATGATATTCTGAGAAACTGCGAATAATTATTTTGAACTCAACTTAATAAAATGTTTTCGTGGTTGAGAGATCCAAATCTGGTAATTATTTTCCAAATTCTGTAATCCATTTGATTATGCCCCTTTTCAAATCGATAATAAAGGGATAAGAATGAGTTTTTATCACCATCCTGTAGAAGTGAGAAAATCGACCTCGGAATTACGAAAAACTGCGATTCTCAATTGATTCCTCGACCTCAACAATACTAGTCAAGTTTTAAAAACTCAGCCAGATTTGTTTCTTTTCATCTTAAAGGCTGAGAAAATTGGTTTCAAAACTTGGCTAGTTTTCTTCAAGTTTGAAAATTGATTTGCTCACTCCTACAGAGTTAAAATAAAAACTAGCTCGTCGTCCGATTATTATCGGCTTGAAAAGAAGAATAGGAAAATGGATTACAGAATTCGGAAAATAATTACCAGACTCCGATTTCTCAACCGCAAAAACCTTTTGTTAACTTGACTTTTAAAAAATATTCGCAGTCTCTCAGAATATCGTTTTGTACCGTACTCGTTTTCAATCGCGTTTCACAAAAGATCTTGATCTATTTCCTGGCGACGGAAAAGAGCGAATCAGTTTAATGTGAAGAGATCTTTCTTTTTCGTTAGAACTGATCAAAAAGATGCCCTAGTCTGCAGATGAACATTGTACTATCGTCGTTGTGGAGACAGCCCTTTCTTTCTTGTCGACATGAAAGAATTGTGTGGTCAAAGGATAGTTGATTTTCGTTCGTTAATACATAATTGCCGGTGGAAGTATGAATTTCTTTTTCTTTCTGCGGTCGCTATCAATTCAGTTAATGTGTTTCGTATTTTTTCTGCACAATAAGTAGAAGGAATCACTTTTCTTAATGGACACCAACGACGTAGATGCAAACACATTAACTTTCATGATTTCGCAATGCGTTTGACGCTAAAGTAAATTCATTTTTCTCCACCACGATTGCAAACGGATACCTTTGGAATATGAATCATGAGAAGGGATATGAAGGTATGCAAGCAGCATGCCTGTAACATTAAGAGAGGGGTGTTCTACGAAATCCGAATCTTGCCTTCCTAACACCTAGAATTGATGAATACGATGACGTTCCAACTATGTGAAATGTTAGAGCAAACAATTCTCTAAACCTTGCTGTTGAAACTTTATTAAAAAAGAAAAATTGTCCAAGAGTATAATCACATGTTGGACAAGAGTGCGAGTGTGTGTTGGTGTGGGTGTAATATGAACTCGAAAACATCCCCACATCTACCCTACTTGTTCACAGTTTTACACAAACATTATAATTTGTTATGTCGCATGACTACTATCACGCTAGAGAAGATGTCAATATAGAAACACGAGCAGGATAACACATGGTGTTACGCAGCCTGTCCACAAAAGTGCCGAGCAGCTTCGCACGATCAGGTGTGCTACTAGGGGTCATCATGATTTCGGAATGGCGCGTCAGTACAGCCTTCCATCCCAATTGCAGATAATCAATGAGATTCATAGGATCGTAATGTTTGTCGACAATTGTTTTCATCCACTTGCATAATAATGGCGGAGATTCGAGGGTGCGATACAGCGTGTAGTCTAATCGTTCTAATAGGTTAACCGCCCATTCGATAGGCGGTACAGGTAGCCCTGATATGCTAGGTAGAGATGCAAATAATGATGGTAGCGGCAATAATATTTTGCTTTGCAGAGTAAATAGTGAGGATACGGTGGAGGTTTCAGGCATCTCAGCGTTAAGATACTGTTCCAGTGTAGAGTCAAGCTCTTCGAAAAGATACCTGTTGATCTTTTGAAATAAAATCATGTGAATATCATCATGGCTGCTCTCCAGCTCAGGACAATCAAGTGCGGCAAGCGTAGCTTCAGTGTCAAATAATGTTATCAGACGCTGTTGGATCTTGGAAAGAGAAGCTACAGGCAGCTTAGCATAATCAGCGGCTCGTTTATGAAAAATGTAGAATGCAGCTAGTGTGACACACACCTTGCTCTCCCGCTGTGGATCAGGATGAAGAACAAAGTGCTCTTGCATGAGACTGCAAACTGCCTGCAAATTGGCATCCATCTAGAAAGCATTGTGTTTTACGGAATGAGAGAAAAACTCTGTGCGATGCTCGAGAACTTTTCGAGTGTCCTACGCTGCAGAAATAAAAGATTCCAGAAATACTTAACGAGGAATCACACTAAACCAACTTTGAAGCAGAATCGAGAGTTTTAACCTATCTGCTAACTCGATAGTTTCGAGAACTCTTAATATGATCTTCATGGAAACATAGGTTTTTTTCGGCATACTCTTTCATCACTTTAGAATTTAATTCAACTTTAGATTTAGAGTTCCATTCTAAATTGCGGAAAAAGTAATGTAATCTGTAACGCAATGAGAATGTAGCATAAAAAAGACAGTTTTCGTTGATAGTCGACGGATAAAGCTTCTTTTTCTTTCAGCGCTTCGGTTTTAAACAGATCTGGTAATTAAAACAAGTTGACCGCAAGCAAGTTTCATCAGCGTTATATTGTATCCGAGCTATCAATGTGGCAATGAAAATCCGTTAAACAGTTTAAAGAGTCGCTTTGATATTCGCGGGTAAACCTCATGCTCCGAAAGCCTGCGAATGATTTTGCTAATTGGATCATGTGCTACTGAAAAATTTGAAGTTTCGCACTATGTTTACCATTCACTACGAATTTATAAAATAAAAATTTTTGATCTCAAAACGTTTTTCTTCGAACGCTTTTACCCATTGCTTTTCTTCCATTACATGGGTTTTCTGAGTCATGAATGATAAGACAATTATTACCTGAAAATAGTAATGCAAGTATATATATCGTGCATCACATTCGACAGTTTATTTATGAAAAAGAGTAGAGGAGGGCGAACAACGTAAAAGCAAAGAAACGAACTCGTACTTTCTCCTGCATAACATGTGACAACTTCTTCTCTCTTCCATTCTACCTTAGACAACACAACATCAGGTGAGTAAGCATCAAGCGAGAGCCTGTGTTTTTTTATGCTATCGAGTCAATGTGCATACGCACAATCGACGCTTTGATGTTTATATTCTTCCAGTTCTGTTACTAATTTGCATGTCTTCCTCTGTGCACAACACACAAACAAAAAAATGCATCGCTTTCTTGGCATGTGACCGCTTGACGAAAGACTTGGTCCGACTAGATTTCAGATAGAACGGTTTTTTATGGGGTGACAGTAGAGCTCGTCACACATTTCTTCTTGCCCTATCCGACAATCATCGGCTTACTCTCATTGAAATTGGTGTAGCTAAATATAGTAGCAAGAGTATGACGCTGAATACAGTTCAACTGAACGATCTAGGGTGTGGGTGTGGGTGTGGGTATTAGTATTGTCTTCACCCACACCCTCTAATTAACTAAGAGATAGCCAATCAAAGTTTGCTAGGTTTTTCTGTTGGGATGTACTTTACAGAGTGATCAACGATGTCACAACAATGAACATGGTTTAGGGTGTGGATGTGGATGTGGGTGAAGACAATACTAATACGCACACAAATACTCTCCACACTCACACTCACACTCCACTTTTAGGTTTTTCTTGTTGCACCAATAGGAAACGTCAAACACCCAATAACAAATAAATGACAGAAGTCAAGGAATGGCGGAAACTAATGTCATCTTTTAGAGTAAATGTGTGACATCTAATGATGTAGTTAGGATTTTGACAAAAATGACCTCGAATACATGTATGAACTGATGGCAGAGTTTAGCAGGCGTAACTTCAATCGGTGCAATAGGGCTCAGTCTATTCTTCTTGGTTGCACGGTACTATTTACTTTTTTTTCTAAAGCAAACGTTTGTTCATATACATGTATCATATGTGGGTATATACGTATAAAACAGTCTTTTTCTCTCAGTCAGCAACTTCTTTCATTGATTTTAGTTCTTTAACTCAAAAAATTCTCTCAGAACTGATAGTTCTTGAATACCTGGAAAAGCTATGTACTTGATCTTACTTTGATAGCCTATTCGAATGTATAAAAAACTTGGGATCTGCAGGACTAGAATTGCTCTTTACCCGGCTAGAGCTGGAACAAGTTTTTGCAAGACTAAGCTTAATTATTTATGACTATTTATCTATTTTCAATAAATGACAGAAAGTGTATGAATAAAGGAATCTTTCATTTTCTATCAAATAAAATTCATCTATATTGTGTTGTACCTATTCAAAAACTAATACAAACCATTAGAAAGTTCTGATTTTGGAAGAGACAACTCAGATCCAGTATGTAAAACCTAAAAGTTGATAAAAAATGGCAGGAACTACTTTATGGTTTCCTCGTTGTGAGGCAATACAAAAAAACGATTTATGGGCTCATAATTCTGAAAAAAGATACTTTTTTCATTGATGAGTGATTAGATTCGAAGATTCAAAACAAAAGTATCTGTGATTTCGATGTCATTAGAAAATATACTAACAATTTATTAGTATCGATCAATAAGTCTATTGTTTAAGGAAAAACCCTAGACGAACATCTTGTAGTATGCGCATGAGGTACTTAAGCTTCTGGAACAAGAATGTCATGTGCTATGGACAAACTTTGACGCAAGACTTGAGATCTTGTTTTGGGTGTGGATGTAGTGTAGACTATGAGAGTGTAGGGATGTAGAGAGCGTGAGCTGTGGATATTATGTGGATGTAGATATAGTTCTTTCTAACACTCACACCCCACATCCACATTCACACCCTCGAAACGGATTGAAACTTGTGAAAAACTATAGCTTTGTTTATTCTGACCACTTAGATACTAAATGATCCCATGTTCTTGCAATCATGCAAATTATATGACGGTTGAAGATCTACAGTATATCATATTTCTACGGGTTATGTTTGACTCGTTTACGTAAAGACCTGATCACTAGTGTAATGTTACTCATCAATTATTTGTTTGGAGAAGAAATAACCTTGAAAGATAACAATACTTATTCTTATTATTTGACATGTTTCAAGTTTTTTTTTTGAATATCTTTAATTAAGAAAAATTTTCGGGTCGAAATAATCGTTCGTATAAAAAGAACTGCATTTAATTTTTTTTACAGTCTTTGAATTTGTTTTCATTTACTAATATTATATAGACTTTTTAAGAATCTATTTTCATGTTTTAAATCGAGTAAAAAAAATATTGATTAATGTTGAGATAAATATTTTAGTGTTGAAAATGCGCAAACATTTGTCTGAGGAGAAAAAATGTATAGAATTGTAGTTATTATAAGTCTGTTATAACCCGTTTTACTTCATCCTAAGTAAATGAATGACTGCTATTGTCTTTAGTTCTTATATAATAGCGAAGTAGTTGAGAATTTTCGATGAATAGTTTGAGGTTAAATAACAGACATTTGAAGAATATCTAATATTCATAATAGACAAAAGAGAGAACAATTACAATTTATTGATTATCAATATTTAATTTAATCAACAAAAAAATTAATTTCCATGATGTATAGGTAAGCAATTAAGAAAATCGCAATTTACAACGGAGTTTTTCGTTCAAGAAGATTTGGCATCGGTGAGCGTTTTATAACAAACCAAGATTGATATCTAGTATTATGAGCAGATTGAAAATTTTCTATACATTGGCGAACAATATTATCTATATCGACATTTTCTAATTCAACGACATGTAGATAGAAATTAAATCGACGAAGTAATGGCAAATGCGAACCAATTAATGATGCACACCAATCATAATTCGTTAGACAGTTTTTCATATTTGAACTGAAAATATGACGATACATGCAAAGTTGTTCGAGATTGGGTACACATGAAAGATAAGTTTCAATAATACGATTATCCCAAGATTTAAAAAAATAATCATTCTTTAATATTAAACGTTTAATATTTAAATGTGATTTGATTTCAGAAGGTATTTCAGTCTCGACAAATGTAATAAATTTAAAAGAATATAAATTTGGACATGATGATAGAGTGGCTTTATAAGCCAATAAATTGATAAGTCCGACTTTTAAAACACGTAATGATGGCATTTGCATCCATTGTTGTGTTCTTTTTATGATTGTTTTATTCGATAAAAAGCAAGATTGTAAATGAGAAGAATCATTCGAAAATATTTTGTTACATATATCAGGCAAATCAGTTGAAAGTGATAAATGCATATTTTGAATTGAAAGATGTTTTAAATAAGGTAAAATATGATTATCAAGTTGTTTGATCTGTTGGTATGTTGTATGCATTAACCCTTTCAGGCCCATGGCTCAGCCAATGGATGAAATTTCGTTGAGACTTTATATTTAATATAGGCAGTGTGTGTTGTGGATATTTTCATCAAAACTTTTTAAAAAATCTTTAAAGTCATTTTCGACCCATGCCCGTACCCCCCTACGGGGATGGCGAATAAGTATTTTGGTCGTCCCCCTGGGAGGGTATGGGCTTAGGTCAAAATTTGATCGAGAGCTGTTACAAAATCAACCTTGGAATACCACTAGGAGTCACTCCTAGCTTGATTTCCACACGGAAAACCGAAATTTTTTTGGGGACTACAAAAGGGCATTGTTAGCCCTTCTCCTTTTTAGAATAGCGGTGGTGTTCCAAAAATCAATCAGGCTTACTACTTGAGTGACGTCATTAGGGTTATAACTCTTATATAGATGTATGCACCGAAGTCTCTTCTATGTCATAACGAAAACCGCACTTCGATATTGTTTTGCGTTCTCGAGTTATTCGAAATTTATCAAGTTTGAAAAAAGTGTGCCTTATAGGTCCCGCTGGTACTTAAAGGGTTAACTATTAATCATTTTTATCACATGAATGAATTTAGTATAGTTATAGTTTTAATACTGATGTGTACACCGAAACCTTCTGTATGCAATAAAGAAAGCTACATCTGAATATCTAATGGAATTCGCGAGTTATTTAAAAATTACAAAACTTGAAAAAACCGTATCGTATTTGGCACGGTGGGCCTGAAAGGGTTAAAACGTAGAGTTATAAAATAAACTTTGACAGGTCAACGATGATAAGCGTTAAAAACTAAAATAGATGTCGCACATTTCCGTGTGGTCTATGATATAGATTATGGCCATTGGTCACTTAGCATACTCATTCTGTTCTACTACATTTATCTGTTACATGATTGGTACACAATTCAATTGCTTAGAACTATTTTCAGCATTCTACTGAAAAACTCGAAAATAGTCTAAAATATGATATGATGACTTCCGAATATTGATCATGTTTATCCCATGAATGAGTTTATTATAGTCATAATTTGAATATAGGTGTATGCACTAAAGCCTTCTTTATATAATAGAGAAAACCGCTTCTTAATATCTTTTTGCATTCCCGAGTTATTTAAAAATTACGGAACGTGAAAAAACCGTACAATATTTTGTACGGTGGGCCGGAAAGGGTTAAAAAAAGACAATGAATATTTGTAAAACAAGTGAAATCAATATTGATTTTATCTTGAATTATTAGATTATGAATATAAGAAATAAATGCATTATCATTCTCATTTTTAGTATAATTATACTTTGAAATTGTAAGAGTAAGATGATTGAGAGATCGAAGAAGATTATTGAAACGCGTATTCAAATTGAAAAATCCTCGAAAGAGATCTCGAACATCAAAATATTGAAATAAAACGATAAGAATTTCATTGGGTAAGAATTCTAATTCAGGCGATTTGTTGTTCATAATTCTTACATGTATCTAGAAAAACAAACAAATAACAATTGTAACGAAATCAAGATGAAAATCTTTCATTAGTATTGATACGCATATTTTATTTAATGCAAACTTGCAAGCTGAAGAAATAGCGTTACCGTCACCCTCGATGTAGATGTTAACTACATTACTTCATCATTCGAATGGTGTCCATCTTAAATCGGACACAAACTCATATAGGAAAGAAAGAGAAAGAGAGAATAGCATATGTCAAAGAAGAAACAACAATACACCAGAGAATAAGAATGGCATCAGACGCAAATGAACAGGTAGGCATGATGATGCAGCGGCCACGATACTTACGAGCGGACAAAAGGTCAGATGCTGTGTCCGATGAGAACACTTCAATTCTTGACACAACAATATTTTATTTTAAAAATTAGCATACATGTATATTGATAAATCGATATTTACACCAATGCTTAATGAGGGTGTGGGTGTGGGTGGGTGTGGGTGGGTGTGGGTGTGGTATGATCTTTTCTTATGCCATACTCAGACCCACACCCACACCCTTTTTTAACATTCTTTTAATATTATAATCACTCAAAGATATCTTTTGTTTTTTCAAAGAAACTCTATTTTAATCAAGAATATGAAAACTCATTGGATGTCTGCTTATTTAAAATTTCAATATAGCTTTATTGGATCAACAAATAATTATTGAAGAAAACGATATTTATCTTTGTGAAGTAATAATGAATAATCAAAGTGTTTCTTTTCTAATCAATGACATTTGTTTATTTTAGTTTGATAGAATCTCTGATAGATGATTGTCGCACATATGCTCAAAAAGCAACTTGAATCACGATGGGATTTATCATGAAAAATTATATGAAATCGATCAATTATTTGATAAACTTAATGAAGGTTTAGAAGTTTACATACAATGACAATTGATGATAATAACAAAATAAAAAAGCTTTAAGAATACAACATTTTTGTCATCCATAACAGAGACCGTCACAGAGCACTTTTTTCGCCCTGACTGTCCAGCAGAGCAAGCAGGGTATGACGAAAGAAGCTTGATTTGCCGTGTGCCGATCTCTAACCAATAGTTCATTTTATAATTTTTGTGTTTTTCTTCAATTTTCTTAAAATTTAAAAAAAAGAACTTATTAAGAAGATGTAGAAATATTTTTTTTAAAACTTAAAACTTTTATTAAAACAAGATGAAAGATTCAATCTTTCATTGAATCAGACTTGATAAACAGTAGTTGTTTGACGCTTATTAAAATTTATCGCTATGGTGTTTTGTGAAAAAAACCTTTTGGTCACCGTCGCCTACGAGTATTCATCAAATATCTATTTTCAGGTGTATAATAAGGTATTATTTTTCCAAGTACAAGTCTCATTCCATCAATTAATCGACACCAATTTGATGTTAATGTACCCACATGTAAATCTGCATTAGCTTCAATGAATAAATCAGTAAGAAATTCTAATACAATCTTTCCACGTTGTTGCTTTGTCATACGGTTGAATGATGCAAAAATAACATTTCTTGTTGCTTTTACACTTAATAATTTATAATAACCTTGTTTTTGTTTGTTTATTTGAATAAATTCATTAAATACTTGCTCATCTTCAGAATTTATATATACTCTTGTTATATTCGCTTGTCGTGCATCAAAATCAAATAAATCAAAATATTGTTTAAGTGTATACGCTTGACACATTTCTTTATATTTAACTTTATCTGATCGACGTACATAGACAGCAATATATGGATGATGAAGATCAATTAAAGGTGGTTGAAAATATTGAGCAATAGTATTTTGAACATGAGTTAATGTTTCAGATTTATATCGCATTAGATAAAATAATAACTGTGCACGATACCAATTAAAAGTTCGATTTTCGAATATAGGTGGATGAATAGGCTTAGGCCATTCACCCATATGAGCACTAATATTTATTGTTTGGTTACTATGAGGTCTAGATGGAATTGAACAATTAGTGATGGGAAGAAAAACACAATCGGGAGTGCCTGCATTACAGTCTCCATAAAACTAAAATAAAATTAGTTATTAAAAATATTTTTTCTTCAAACAAAGAACTCGTTTTTTTTTGAACTATAGCTTAATAAAAATTTGGTGGGAATGTGCTATATACTAGCGAAAACTAAACTTGAAGATTCGAATAATCTCAAAAAATCGTTATATAATGTAACCAAAAAGATAAACTAATGTCAAGATTGATTTCAATAGTATCAATTTGTCTCACCCAATATCCTGGTGTTTCGTATACAGCAATTCTATTCTCCGCTAGAGCCATACCAAATGCCCATGCGATTTGATGAATAGTTGATCCAAAACCCGACCAAGCAAAATTTTGAATAATAGCAAATTTTCTATTTGTACAATTCATTGGATGTTGATGTTCATAAAGCCATTTTTGTGCTTGTAGTGTATTTTCTATTGAATATTCATTCGTTGATGAATAATTACATGAATCAATTTTATCTATTTTTGGTCCACCGATATATTCAACAATCTGACATGGTAAAAGACGTGCTAAACGAAAATAATTTTCATCGACAAAACGCATTGACCATAGATGTGTTGAATTATATACAGGAGGAAACGAATGTATGATTTGTTGTTTTGATTGTATATCTAATGAGTATGAGCGATTTAATGGAATTCTTGCTTGATGAAAACTTGGACCAAGAAGAAAACCAAATGCAAAACAAACAATAAGTACAACTATAGCAAATGTAATTTTAATAGGTTTTGCTGTCGATGTTTGATTACTGTTCACACATGCCATAGTAGATGATGAATTGAATGTCGGTTTTATAAAAACAATGATTAACTCATTTTGTTTATTCAAGAATAATTTCCAGCGATATTTCAAGTAAAGCTTTTATTCGAATTCAAAATCATGTGAATGTCATGATCTGAAAAAAAAAGAACGTTAAATATTTGTAATGAATAGATGCAATTTTGAAAAAGATAAAATAAGTTTTAGATGAAGAAAAACATTGATATTAGTCTACTTTTTGTGACACACACGTAATTTTTGAAAGAAAAAAAATAAAGTATTATAGGAATAGGTAAGTCTCCTCTTTCAGAATATATATGGTTTTTTTCGAAAAAGCCAAACTTTAATTAATTTAATAGAGAGATCGAAACCTTACTATCATTTTTTTCTAAGCAATGTCGCGGTTTTTTGAGGTTTTTCAGTATTGGTAGGACTCTGTCTTTCTATTTTAATTAGTATAGAATATTTGTTCTATGTTAGAAAGGTGATAAAAATATAAAATAAAGACAGTTCAAGTTGACAAATTTGTTCACAGGATTTTTCTTACTTGATGAGAACGTACATTTATATATAAATACGTTTATAGAGTATTAACTTAGTTGTATCTGAAATTCACATTTGAAAAAAGGCTTCTTTCTAACAGAAAACCATCTGTTCGTTAAGTCATGTCTCATAATAAAATGTCTCACAGAAAATCGTATTTGAATAACAGAGTAATGTCTTATAAACCTATCAATACGCTATTTTTCATGCTGCAACAGTC